ATATCTATTGACATATTTTGCGTGACTAAGTTGGAAGGTGTGGGGTAATTTACCAAAACAAAATTGTTAAGCATATTATAAGATAAAATAATGATAATATTATTAGAGAGTTAATGTAACATAACTTTCTAGTAACAGTCCATTTTTTTAAAAATCACACATGAAATCAAGTCATGACTTCTGTTTTAATATATAAGATTGGTGATTAGTGGATTGGCTCCAACCCTTTATATAGTAGTAGATTAATTCCTATATTTCCGATGTGGGATGTTTCTCATCAATATACTTAAATACTACTATATAATATGAACATCATCTTCAGCTTATAAAGGTACAAACTATGACCTTCACTGAGTATGCTGTATGCATGATATATTCTAGGGCAAGTAAAAACATGTTTGATTGATGAAAAAAGGGATGAATAAGCGTGATTTCTTTATTTTATTATTAACTGTTTAGAGTACTCATAAAATGAAACTAATTTACTAAAACCAATTTTAAGTATTTAGTGATTATGTTAATTTTTTAAAAAGATTAACTCCAAAGTTTTCTTATATTAAGATCATTACTATTTTGACATTCCTCAAATCATTTAAGGCCAGGCCTAGATCGTATATTCGTATGGCCCAATGATACTAATATTTACCGATTCTTTTTCTATTTTGTGCGATCTAATATTTACCGATCCGGACTCGTAAATTCCCATAATTAAATTTTCACCCGCTCTCTCAGTCCTTCTTCAGAACTCTCCTCCTCCCCCAGTTTCCCGCCAAAACCTCAGGTGAATCCGAAGATTCCAACTCGCCGGAGAACCATGGAAGCTCATCGATCCCTCGCAGGAATATTAAAGAGAAAACCCCTCGGAGATTGCACCAACACCGTCTCCAAAACCACCCAACAGACATCTTCTTCCTCCTCAACACTCGTCAAATTCGCGAATCCGAATCTCACTTCCTCTCTTAAGAAACTATTAGATCAGACTTCTCCCAAGGAGACACTCGAAGATGTCAATAACTCAAAGGCTGCTGGTCTCGTCGTAACCGCTTCCACGAGCGTTAGGCCCGTAACTCACCGTATCTCCAACGATCTAGGTTTTCAGGCACCAAAGCCTTCTCGTCGCCGGAAATCGCGATCAGGTGAGGGTGATAGGTCGAATTTGGTTGTAGTATATCGAATTGAATTTCAATTGAAACGAAACTGTGCGCAACGCTAAGGTTTTGTTTGTAGGATTCGTGATACTTGGATATACGTGTTGTTTACGGAATTGAAGGGAAGAATCATTAGATTCATACTTGCTGACCACGTTTCCTAATTATAGGGGAAGAAAACTAGTTGAGTGATGTTCCTTAAGATTTTCAATATTAACAACTGTCTTATATGCTTAGGCGTTGTTGCTGAGTCTTACACGGTTGTTAGAAGGAAGGCTTCTGGGGAGAAACGGAACAAAGACGCATCTTCCTCTAGTGTACTGGCTCGCCTTCGTCTTGATAATGCTGGGTATGAATTCATTCGGTGATATATGATTGTTGTCTAATGGTAACTATGCACATCTGGAATCAGGGTACATGGTACTTAAATTATAGTGTTAAGAATCTTGATGAGAGAACTGTTATTAGTGTTGCACCTATTATGGCCATCTAATCTGGTATAATAAGTAATGGTATAGATATGGACATGTGGAGTTAGGGTAGAATTATATTAAATGCTACTTAACGTGTTGATGCTGTTTTTGGCTTCTTGTGGTTAGATTCTAGACGGTATAATTGAAATTAGGGTTGATGCCAATCAAATTTTTTAACCACTTTGGCCTGTGTTAAATTCAAGCGTGTTGCTGTTACAGGAAGAAAAGACATCAAGCAGATAAAAATAAACCCAAGCCCTCAAAAGTTGCTCCCAAAAAGGTGAATTCAGGAACGCTCTAGCTATGTATTCTTATCACAAGTGTTATAGTTCTGTGCTGCTCTCATCTTTCTGTGAAAACAATAGTCATTTTTTAGGTGTACTGGTTGTTTGGTTGTAGCAATGATATTAGTGTATCATATGTCTCAACATTGAGTAGTCAAAATGATCTGCCATCATATATGAAATCCAGTGCTAGATATAACTCGAAGATGGATGTCTAGTCTTTCAATTTCATGTATATTCTTCTCTTTATTTTAAAGGTGGATTCAGAATATTCTCATGCGATTACTCTGTTCTTGCTGTTTAATGAGATATGCAACTTGTATCTATTTGACGAGCCTTTTAAGTGGTCTCCAAATCCAATTTTGTGTCTATGATTACATTACAGAGGCAGAGAACGGTAAAGCATGAGGAAGATAATGTGTCTAATGGAGTTTCTCAGGATTATATCGAGAAGCAGAGAGCTTACTTTGCAGAGGTCGATGCATTTGAGCTGGCAGAAGAAGAGGTATCTAGTAGCGACTTAGACTAAGTAAGAAGCGATAACTATCTTTAAGGATATCAATAAACACACCATAACCCGTTCGTTCATATCACTGTATAGCTAAGACTTCTTCTCACACGGAATACTTCACTGGTCCCTTAATACCACATGACATGCCATCCTTTGTGAATACAAAAGATCTATTAGTGTATTGTAATAATTGACTTCGCTTTACTGGGGGAGCTTTCTTGGTTCTAGATATATGCATCAGACAATTACATTCACACATTATAACACAGTAAAAAAATTGGTGTATTTTACTTCCAGAAGCCCTGAGTGCATGATGATATATTAGTCTTATGAAATCTGATGATAAATTTGTATTGAATGGTGCGTGTGCTTTGTGTATGTACATATGCTTGAATGTAGATAACATGATGATATATTAGTTTTTCTTATGAAATCTGATGATAAATTAGTATTGGATGGTGCGTGTGTGTTGCGTATATACATATGGTTGAATGTAGATAACAAGTGCACACCAGTGTGAGAGTGTTGAGGAGGGATGGGTGGACGAAGCCTAATCAGATAGTCTATCTAGTAATCTAGTTCATGTTTCACTCTTCAATTTTATTTTCTTATCATGCAAATTTGTCTTAAAACTAGAAGGAAATTATTTAAAAGTCATTATAATGAAGTATCAATCTATACTATTATATAAGAAGTAAATTTGCTTAGTTGTCAACTTCTCCTTGATTTTAGGTAAATTTATTTATTTACTTTATTTAAATAATTTCAATACAATTTATTATTTAATAAAAATGAATTTATAATATAATTTTAACATAACCAAAAACTTAAAATGAAAAATAGAAACTTAAAACTAAAAACCAAAATCTAAAAATAAAAACTAAAACTAAAAACTAATGAAAAACAATATCACCACAAATTTTTATATCAAAAAATTCTTTAAATTAAGACAAAACCCAATTATATAAATTTTTAATCATAAAAAATTAAAGCGCGGGTCAAAATCTAGTTTTCTATTAAATAATGTGCGCAGGTTCAGTCATCATACTTTAGTGTGTGTGTGCATACAAACCCTAATTCACAGAAGGAAACAAAGTTTGTTTATATTCGAATACATTTTGCAGGCAAAAGAAAAGAAGAGCTTGGTGCTAGAACTAGAAGAGAACGATTACTAACAAAGACTATGGAGTCAAGGTTCTTTAAACGCAAGCTTCACATACACAAAAGATGCTCTGTTTTTACTCAATCTTGCTTGAGAGTCAAGAAAAGGTTCATATTCACCAAAAATCATAACAAGAAAGCAATAACAATCTAAAGATTCCAAAAGAAACACTAGCTAAGCTAGCTAAGGTTTAGATTAACTCTCTCGTTCAGTCAAAAGCCCACTCGTTCTTCTTGAGAACATCTGCTTCCTCCTCTGCTGTATTAGCACCAAATGAGCTACTATTTCGATCCCTAATGAATTGGTGCCATTATTCGGGCTCTACCGATACAGACACAACACTAACGTAACAAGAGTCAAGAGATGGAACATTTAGTATCAGAATTAGCAAGAGTGAGCGTATGAGAATGATCATCGACACAAGATTGACTCGAATAGGCTTCAAATGTACAAAATCTTCTCTACATATGTACACAACTCAACCATCATCCTTTGTTTTCACAGAGTTTTGAATTGCCTTTACTACGATTTGCAGATTGATGAATGCTCTATGAGAGAGGAGAGTCAACTTATCCAGCACCATAAGAAGGGTCACGTCATGTTAGTGAAAACAATCATTGTTCTTTAGGTATAGATTCAGTTGCAGCTGTAAAAGCGATGTATAGAGATTTTATCATAACGTTTGAGTTTGTTTAACCTATAATTAAACCCTAATTCACAGAACGAATCAAAGTTTTCTAAATCCCAATATATTTTGCATGCAAAATAGATTGGAGAGTTTGGTGCATAACGAATTAGCAAGAGAGAGTTAGTAGGGAAACGACCATTGACAGAAGAAGATAATGGAATCAAGATTCTCAAAACGCAAAGCTTCAAATGTACAAAACTTATTCTAGATATATACAAAGCTCTGTTTTTACTCAATCTTGCTTAAGACTCAAGAAAGGTTCATATTCACCAAAAAAAAAAAAATCAAAACAAGAAAGCCATGTTCATCTCATTAACGATCATAAAGATTCCACAAGAAACACTAGCTAAGCTAGCTAGGGTTTAGATGATCAACCCGCTCGATCACTCAATCAAAAGCCCACTCGTTCTCCTTGAGAACCTCTGCTTCTTCCTCTGCGGTATAGTCACTCACGATGCCGAGCGTTTCGCGAATCTCCTCATGGTCTTTGCATGCTGTGATCACGTCAGCGACTCTCTGGCACATGAGATCAAGAAGACCTTGGATGTTTAGGTAATTAGCAGCCGCGATGAGATCGTAGACCGTTGACAGATCCATCTCCGTGATGAACTTATCGTCCCACTTCTTGAGATCATCACCGGAGGAAGAAGAAGAATCACCACCGTCGACGACGACGTGCTTCTCGCAGTATTCGACCACCTTTGAGAGGATCTTGCCTGTGACTTCCTCGATCTTGTATTCTGGAGCGGGGCAATCTTGAACAAGATGCGACAAGAACTGAGACTCAAGTACGACCGCTTTTTCGACCTCAAAGGATACATCGTCGGAGCTCTTCAACGTGATCATCTTCTTCTCATTCTCCATCGTTGTTCTTTGCTGCTGCGTGGTGATTTTCTCGTGAAAAGATTAGAGGGAGGACGAAAGAAACTGATGAGAGAGCGAATGAATTAATAGAAAAGGTGGTGAATGAAGTTATGAGCCCCCATGCAAGTGTATTTATAGCCGGAACTTTAAAATATAATTTTTTATCATAGAAATTAAAAATTAAGGTTAAAATATTAATAATTAAATATAAAGAAAGCAATGCTGATTTATCAACTTCTTCATGGTTTTATATTTTTCTTATTTATCATATTTTAATAATTTCATGTATAATTTATTAAATAATAAAACGAATGTATACTAATAATACTATATTTAAAAAATATGATAAATCTTATGTATTAGATTGTTATCTTGAACATATATTTTCTAGAAAATATTACACCCAGAGTCACTTTTGAGTTTTTTATTTCACTCAAAGGAACTTAATGCTCCTAACACACTTTCCTTAATAGCCGACTTTTTCCCTAGTTATTTATCAATATTTAATCCCCTTCTAATTACAATCTTAACTTGTTCACGAGTGTAGTCTCGTTAGTTTAAGCGGGAGACACCTCTCCACCACACATCTTGATTCCTTTTGTATGGTCCAGATTTTATTTTAACTTTATGACAAGACATATAACTTTCCTCAATTGTAGCCACACGATCTTTTATTTTTTTTACCCATTGACGGTCCACATTATCTCCACATAATCTTATCACATTTGACTTTGTTTTTTTTCAGCAAAACAAACCGTCGGTGAACTCTTCTCTCTCCGATTACCGCTGCTAAAAGAAGAGGTTAGTGTTAAACGTTAATCTATCCACCACGACTTTTCTTTAACCAATTACTTTTCTCATGTGTGTGCAGACTCTTCATGGTCAGCAAATGTATGGTTGTCCCCGGAGAGTGGACTTTTTTAAACTTTGTTTGGAAATTTGCAGCCGACAATGACAAGATGTCACGAGTTGTAGATGTGCGTCCCGGAATGCCTCTCCTTGAACTTCAAGATAACGTCCTCAAGGAGTACTTCACGTTCACCAACCAGCCCCCGCCATCTGTCTTGAGTTATTGGCCTCCTAACACCCATGAGCTTGCCACCGGAATTACAACCCCACTGGTGATAATGTCAAGCGATGGTGCTGTTTCATATTTCTTTCAACACCTAGCTATCAACCCAACCATGAACCTGTTTGTATCTTTTAACAAAAAGGAGGTGAAACCCCAAGTTAGCCGAGTCAGTGACAACCCCCTTCGATTCACTACACCTAATCAACCTATAAATCCGCCTTTCAAATCTTTTCGCCCCCTTCCACCGCTTCCTCTAAAATCCCTAGATTTTCCCTCTTTGATGATGAATAACTCTTAGGAGACATTCCTATTGTCTCTCCTAATGAGTCCAGACCTGAACCCTGTTCAGTTTCAAAGTCCATTCTCCACGAGGCGCCACCCAAACGAGTCTGCATTGAAGATGAGACTCTCTCATGTGGAGACGAAATGCTTGAAGAACTCTTCAAAGAGGATCCTGACAACATCCCCGATGATTGGCTACTTGAGGCTGAAGAGGACACTTTATCAGAGAGTTCTCAACCTCCTGAAACTGCTGTACCAGAACGGGGCTACGACCATGATTTTTGGGACCCTTTGCTTGACGACACACTTGCCGGTTCAGATGCAGCTGAGAGATTGGCTGGGATTAATGTCCCCAAGACTGCACCTGAAACCTACCAGTGCAGCAACGGAGGTGCATTCGACCATACAGTCCGTTTAAACGGCCAAGATGATACAGATTGGAAGAAAGACCTTGATTTCATCGGCATACATCAGCGGGATTGTACGCGTGTACATCGTGGTTCCTCGTTCACCAACCCAGGCAAAGAGGCCCCCTGGACACCTATCTCTTCTGTACGCGCTTCCTCTGCGTACACGCGTACACCATCTCCACTTCGTACTCCTACCAATCCACCTGCTCCTGCTACCCCTCAACCACCTGAGACTAGACTTCTCTATGAGATCAGCGACGAGGAGTTTGATATCCCCCCGCTCTTTGATGATGTAGCTTACGAGGCTGAAGATGTTCCAGATCTCAACTTCGATGATACGGACGGGGAACCTACGGTTGGGAAACTGTACGCAAACAAAAAAGACTGCCAAATTGCCTTAGCTATATATGCCATCAAGAAGCGCTTCCACTTCAGACAAACCCGCACGTAAAGGGACTCCTTTGTTCTTAGTTTCCATAACACACACTGCGACTGGCGCATACTAGCCAAAGAGCTGACCACATGTGGCTATTACACAAT